TATTTTAATTATCGAACTGGAAAGTGTGGCCCAATACTTTATATTGGCGGAAAGGTTTTCTTTCAGCTGAAATCAACGAAAAGGAAGTAGTTAAGGAATGCCATTGTACGTCAGATAAATGAAAGTTTCAAATTTGATAATCGTCAGTAGAACCTGTTCAACGTCGAAGCTAGTTCGGTGAATTTACCTCGGACTGAAACCGCTGTCAATAGGATTTAAAAGAAAATATTTCACGTAATGAACTTCAATAGAGATTTAAGTTGCGAAGTTTGTAGACGGATATTTTATCAGATGTACAGTACAATTTCTTTTTACAAACGCTTTTTGGTAGCCATTAGACTGAAACTCATTGTTTAGCGGATCTATCTCATTTGACGATGGGTGGATGCTTTTGCCAACCAATGGGAAACAGGTCAGAGGTCATCGACCAGACATCCTTCGGCCTATTCTATCGAACATCATTTGTTTGACACATAAACTCACGTCTAGTGTAGTCTGGTCATGTGGTTGATGCCCCCAAAATGAATAGGTAACTATAACTGATTGACATCATCGGATATGCAATAGTACACTGAAGGAATACCGCTAACAGGGAGTAAATGATACATTTTTGGGCAAGTGAATTACAGGTAATACACTGACTTCTGAAAGGCACTGGTAATACGTTACGGCAGCAAACAGGCTCAAAAATCCGCCAGAAGAGGTGGGATGCTCTAATTACATCCTCGGAGAACCTCGAAACAAAATCATTCGTTTCAGTGAAAGTTATATATATATATATATATATATATATATTTGCAATCAATTTGGTTCGGAAAAGAATAATTGACATTTTATAAGTCAGCCTAAACCAAATTTACTGAACAACCAGGAATTGATTGATTTTGCAGTCATGAAAACGAAATGAAACAATAATAGTTGCTATCTTTTTCGAAAGTTTCATAGCAATTACATGGTTATACAAAAATTTCCAGCAGGAAAATAAAATGGACTGACTGATTTGAGGCAGCCGTATTGGTTGCGCGATGTTGATCATCACGAAACTGTATCAACGGTAGAGTGCTCTTCTCTCTCTCCATCGATAATGTGTAAACGTTCTCATCTAGCAAATAATTTTTGTGACCGTCATGCTTCTTTAATAACAACTTATCCAATGACCTAGTGCATCCAGCAAGAAAAAGAATGAGTTAAACAATCGATCGATTTTTTTGAACTTTTACGTATCTCGTTTTCAGTAAGTTCCTCTTTCAGTCTTGATACAGACCAAGCGAGGTGAAACACAAGACTTCTCATGCAATGATGCTGACATGCATTTCGATTGGAGATGCACGACTGACTTACTGTGTTTTGTCACTAGTGGTAGTCACTTCATTTTGCATCGGTCGATGCACTGAGGTTTCCAGTGGTCTTGTGGTTGCTTGTAGGCCACGTGACACATCGCCGCGGTCCGTGGGCAGGGCACAGCGAATGGATACGGCCTGATTAACATCGAAAGGACCTTTGGTCTCCAAACTGGGTTTGGTCTGATGAGAGGAGTAACACAACAGAAAAAAAATATGCAAAAGAAATAACCTAACGTATGGAACCCTTCAACCATCGGCTCGTAATTTCAAAAAGGGACCCGAAAAACTGCTATTGAGCTATGCTATGGACCAACAGCCTTTTGTGTGAATTCTATCCATCAAATAATAACCACATACGTGAACAGATGAAACAGTGATGTGCTATCCCAGACGAAAATTTGTAGTGATTTTACTTGATAATTTGACATAGTTAAAAGGTTCATCATTTCTGGGAAAAGGGGATAATGTATGATCAGTAAGGGAGCCAAATAATCACGAAACCATGCTTAACATGCTGTCCTGGAATCAACATCTGTTCAATGTATTCAAGTAGTAGCGAGATTATTCAAGTTCAATATATGAATAATGAATGCGTGGTTTGATTTTCTTTTGTTCAAACTGTTCACTCAAGAAAACGAACGCAGAGCATACACTCTACACGCACCTTCTCTGGTTGTTCCATAAAACCCGAATTAATATCAAAGTAGTCTACTTTACATTTGATAAAGTGGGTTAATAAATCAAGTATTTGACGGGATAAACTAGAATAAAGGAAAAACGTTGCGAACAAATACGATCTGATCTCGGATTCATTCCATTACATATCAGACAGTGCTCATTTCAGAAAACAAACTGATGTATGTATCAAAAGTGGTATCAGTCTAACACAGCACCAATTCCCTCAGACGAAGGTAGATATCCACCTACTAACACTGCAGGGTTGTGTTCGGCACCTGAATACTATGGCCTCAAAAACCATAGCAGCCGTCCATTTTGAGTTTGTCCAATAGATTGGACCGATACCCTCCAACGTATTGGAACGTCAGCCTATAACAATTCACGACACATTTATACTATGCGATGGGTTTGGTGGAGTGGTTGTTTATATGGCTCTCAATCTCATCAGCTCGGGTTCTACCCAGGCTGATATTTTCTCGATCGCTCGACTGTCCATTGGTTTTTCTGTTCTGTTTATATAGGTATCCTCTCATCCACATGACTATTCATAGACATGGCCTGATTAGACAGAGGAGTAGGTTTTAGATCACGAGCTTTGAGCTTTGGGTTGTTTTTCAACGAACCACTAGACTATAGTAACAAAGTCTTTGAGAGCCACAGCTGCCGTCAGCCATCTTTGTGCGATTTGGCCCAGATCACCTGACCTTTGAACGACGGTTGATGCTGAATTCCTCGATTGGTAGCGCTCAGAGTTATATCTGTGTTTCACGTTTACTAGGTAACTATTGATCATCAGCGCTTCCATGTGTCAAATTAGCTCATTTTATACACTGTCTAAAGTTTCAACTCGAAATTCGTCGGCTATATAGCAAATGAAGCGTGAACTGAAAAAACTGGGAAGCACTGGACACCTGTTTCGACCTGGTTGGGTCTCATTAGCAGTACGAATCGATCGACCCAACTGCAACTCGAACCCGGGACCTCACAGGCAGAACGCAAGCACACTATTCACTCGGCCGCCGGGCAGCTGATCAGACAGTTTTTCATTTGATATTTACTAGATTTAACACAACCTGTCTTTACGATCTTGTTGCGGGATACAGACCCTGCTCATCTCAGCACAAGCCTCCGGGGTTATGACTCGGTTGGAAACAATCATAACCTAACTACTTATTTCAAGTGAGTAATGGACGATTCGATTCAATTTCAAATGGGAATTCGTCGTGATTACAGCAAATGAAGCGTGAACTGAAAAGCTAGGAAGCACCGAACATCTGTTTCAATCTGGTTGTGTTCAGTGTTCATTCGCCTAGTTCGAGCATTCAGAGAAGGTAATAGAACTCATTTTGTGTTCTGTTGGGGCAGAACTCCTCAAATGCATTCATTAACCGGTGAGTGTGTGTGTGTGTGTGTGTGTGTGTGTGTGTGTGTGTGTGTGTGTGTGNTTTGTTTTCGAGATTATACATGACAATAACAATTGGAGGAAAACCCAACTAGCTGTCCTTTTAATTTGTCCAAACTAGGAAACTCCAAAATTAAAGATGACATCATTTGTGCACAGAACTCGTAGACGTTTCAAGACAGAAAGCGGAATACCTGAACAGAGAACATTTGTGCAGGAACGAACTAAATTGCAGAAGCAGGTTTGCCTTCATTCCGGCATCATCGTGGTACCCACGGATGTGTAAACTGTCACTTTGTTGTTATCAACACGTATTAGATACAGACTATTTCGTTTAGCTGAAATAATGCGCAATCGCAGTGTTGCCTTCTTTACGTTAAGGTTATACCATGATGATTGTCTTCGTAGTTCACGTAATTTAACGGAAAAATGTGAGTTTTCTGGTGATGAGGCGGCCAACTCCTTTTTGAAATACTTTTTTCTGCATAATGTCAACTGGGTTAGTAACTGAAGAAGAAAGTTACTATACAATAATAGTATAGCATGAATTTCAGTGTCAGCATACAATCCATTTTACAATTGCTCACATTCCTAGAGTCATATCTTCAGGTGACCCTCAACTGAGTCAACCATTTACTTGTACATCTGAGCATCTAATTGGCGTTTAGGCCTGATGAGCGCCGCTACCAACCATATCTCCTCATGTATTCCAACAGGTGTGAACATACCGTGACTACAATGAGTTGAACAGACTGAAACTAGAATAAATTGTAACAAATACGCTGCACGCTCATTGGATTTTTTTCTGTGGGATGGTTATAGCAACAGATTAACTGTCTTCAATGGTGTAAAAATAACAACCTAAAGACAGCTGGTTCGGACAATAGTTCGGACAATCAGGAAAGGTTTGATTAATGTAAGTGAACAATGCGCAATGGCCAAACGCAACCATTCATACATGTAAGATGACTGATGTTACATAAGAAAACTGTGATGCTTTATGATTGTATCATCATTCAAATATTAATTTTTCCGACAGAAAACAGGTAGATTTTGCGAAATTACGATTATATTTACCTCTAAATATATGCGTAATCCACATTTAATTTACAGCTAGTTGTGAGTAGTCGTGTGGGACAATTGATATTTATTTATTTGAACTGACTATCCTTCCATGCGATGAGCCCGAAGTTCAAATCCCGGACGGGACGGTGGATATACACTATTGATGAGCTCTAATAAGAGCAAAACTCGAGTCTAGTGCTTCCGAGTGTATGGTTGACTGGATGAACTGAAGATTGTGCGTGAAGGTGAATTCGGAAGAATGGTCAGTTCAAATTAAGAAATATGCGTAATCAACAAAATGGTTGAGACAATCTTCAGTAGATGGTAACATGTTGGCTATTAGACTACCAAACCAGCTGAGACCTGCTCAGGACCAACACAGTGCTTGTATGCTCGTCTCTTTCTTCAATGTGCCTACACTAGACATCTTTATGCGTACACAAGAATGAAGTTGTGCCGGTGTTTCTAGTTTTGGTTTGATGCACAAAGTTTGAATTTCCGTGGTTTTCTTTCAGATAATTCAAGTCACTTGAATGATATGGCTAATAATATAAAGGCGGTACATAAAAATATGAGTATTATATAAAACAAATCTCGAAATATCATTTATCGTTTCTCAACGGTTTATCATTTTGCAGGCATTTTGAACTTCAAATGCAGCTTTTCATATTCACTGGTTGTTTCACTGCGGATTAAAAGATTTGCGTAGGTTGTGGCTGTACTCGTTCGCTGAAAATAAGGTTATTGATCGAGCAGCCCAGATAAACATGATGTGTCTTGTACACCGCACGTCATGTGACGCATCCGTCCGAAAGGGTATCTCTAAACCAAGCGACTTACATGTAAATTCAATTCATTCGAATATATTCCTTTCCATTGCTTATGTTCCAGACTGATCTTATTTATATCCGTTTCCTGTATCCTGACTGGTTCAGTAGCAGGCAACAGATGCCGTTAGATTTCTGAAGATTTTTTTCTGTGAATATAAAACCTGTCCAAATTCGGACTCCATTGCAAAATTCTAACAGTTTCGGTAGACAGCCCGAGCGGATTATTCTTGGTCACTGGAAGCGTTAACCACTTAAAGGCCAAAAGAATGGAGTTATTTTAATTTTCACCAGACCAAGCTATTGATGGAATACCAATATTGATTGTAGGCAATCCCTGATTTGTTAGCACAAAAATGTAACTTAGTTGAGATTGGTTAACTAATACGTTAAGTTGTTTTTACCATGGTAACATGGTGTGATCAGTTTTTCTATTGTACGTATCAACGTTTTGTCTTTCAAACTTGTTTGATAAACGCAAATATAGAGAAGTCACAGTGATTCCGTTTTTACATTGCAATTAAATTAACTGTTTCTGAAGGGTTGGTATTCGTGACACTTGCGAAAGATTGTTGCACATGTGATGTGTCGTCCACATTGCCAAAATTGTCTCTAGGTTGCCTGGCGAGCCCATCAGGTTTGCTAAATCAATAGGGTAAAATGGGAACAGCTCTGACAAGTTGCAAATTCGCGAACACAGTCACATTTTTGAATTATGTCATCAACACAAGAAGTCATTTTGGGGCAGAATTCATATTAGCCGTCAATTTCGCATGCTCTCCTTCCGCTGTAAACACGCATAAATATGATCATGTTAAACGAAGAAATATAGGAGTTCAAATTAGTTAGATGACAAAATTTGATATAGCTGAATGAAAGCACCCGAAATTGATGGCCAATATCAATTCTGCGACAAGTCTTCTTGTGTTGATGAAATGGATAAAGGGAAAAGGATGTTTTGCATATTTTAATTATGATTTTACAAATCGAGTGGTAGCTAGTGATATACATGTTAGTTCTATCATTTGGTGCGTTTGATAAATTACAGCTGACACATAGGCCATTCATTTTATTAGAATTGATACCGGATGGGTGAATGGGTACACGCGATATAGGAACAGTTAGAAATCATTAGCAATCTGGGTGTTTGGTGCATTTCATGCAAGGAGTAGGGTTATCATTTTGTGTTAAGAGTAAAGCTGTGTAAG